ATTTAAGGAATGGACAGCTTCAAGCACTTTTTTACTCCTTTTCAAAAGAATGTCAGATTTCAAGTCTGATTTCGAGCGTATGAATACATGACCTCATCTGCTGCTCATAGTGTCCGACCAATCAGGATTATGCCCTGTGACATTCAAGTTGCAATGTTCGATAATGTTAATTTCCTTGTAGGCATTTCGAAATGGAAGTTGATGACCCATCACTATCCAAGTCATTTTTGTACACGCATGACCAGTCATGTAAATTTCAATGAAATGTGTTTCCTGGTGAAATGGACATGAATCAATATCTTCCAAAGAGATTCAATCTCATGTAAATTTCGACATAGAGATGAAAGGGACACTTGAAATCATGTGTATAAAGCTTGATGCGCTGTGATATCATTTGATTCTCAGCACTATTCATTATATGCCAACCGATTTTAATGGTCATCATGACATTTCAGTTGGATCATGCTCCATGATTTAAGAACAAGAATATAACTGTTACTCATTTTCCGCATTATTTAACTCAATTTTACTTTCGGTAGTGATTTTAATCCATTTTCATTTGGTCTTTGAAGGAAGCTAGTGGATGAAATAATTGATAGTGTCAGTTTATGGTGTGTCATTTTCAATGATCGTACTCATCTTTGGTAAGAAGTGAACTTCTCCTTCTACACATCAAACGTGGGGGAAAAGCCTCAGCGATGTACATAAGTAACGATGGTTTCACAATCATGGTTGTAGACACTGCAAACACGAATCAGTCCTGAAAATGAATACGCTTACATACATCACCATATCAACGGATGTGAAAGATCGCCGGATTACAAGTCGCCTTCATCTCTTTTCTGATTTCATTCGTTCTCCATGACAAGTGAACAATTACTCTTATAAAGAATATAGAACACATTATCGAACCACAAAATAGCTGAACGTACTGCAGTTAGCATGTCTTAATTATGAAGGGAAAAACGTTATGATGGATTTTTGTAAAATAAAGAATCCAGTTTACAATCTTAGATATTCTCGTCATGGAATTGGTAGGAATTGGTTCTGTGGTTACAAGGAATCAATGCTCAGGCTACAAGAGGAATTGGCGTCACACTGTGGTTACTACATCTACTTTGAGTCTTGCGTTGAGTCTCGTGTACCAGGATAAGGTTACACTGTCTTGAGTTTCTTTCAAGCAATTTGTCTCCGATGTTGTTGATTAGGTTCGTCTTTGATCTGCCAGCCGATCAAGATAGAAGGGACTTGCGGCATGACTGGTTCCACGCTTATTAGTTGAGAAAAAACAATTGTATCTTTTCTACCACATATATAATTCTTGTTTTAAACAATTATCCTCTTCCTTAAAAATGTTGCAACATTACATGTAAATTCAACATACTGACCATAAGAAAAATATGTTTTAACTCAGTCGAAATTGCGAGGCAAAAGAGACGTCAGTACCCCATACTTGTAATAGGAGGTTGCTGATGGAGACGGGGGATTACTGGGAACAACCTGCGGAGTGTGCTAAGACAGCACTGGTCGTTGCTCATTACATTAACCACTGGTTTGTCTGTCCAAGATTCCATCATTCACAGGCCGCCATAGCTGAAATATTGCTGGTTGTGGCATAAAACAATATTCACTCACACATTTTGTTTTCATTAGTTTTCCATAAGAAAGTTTTTATACCACCTCGTACCCTGCAGGGATAGCCTTCTTTAACTAATGTAATATTAAACGGTCAGTACTTAAAGGGCGATCGTAATGGTCGACAAAGACTTAGTTCATTTACAATATTCCAACACTTTATCCATAATTTACAACAATGACAAGTAGGTTAAAGTTGCAATATGCCGCAGGAAAACAGTCACCACTTAGCTGAAAACAAACATCATGCTTTAACGGTACGTTAATACTCTATAACTCTCTGAAATGACTGTCATTTGGGCACGTCAGTAACCTGTGATCATAAGTTCGAATCCCTTTAATCCCCGATTAAGTTTCTAGGTTTTTCAGCACAATACCTGTGAGTGAGTGAGTGAGTTGGGTTTAACGCCGCCTTTAACATAATTCCAGTTATATCACGGCGTGTCAGCCAAATTATGGGAGGAAAGCCCGAAGTGATGCAGGTCTAAGACGTTTACCACTTCGGTGAAACCCACGAGCATGGGTATGGTGCTGACAAACCTAGAAACATAATTGGGGCGAACCGGGATTCGAACCCACAATCATAGGTTTCTGGCGTGCCCAAGGGACGCAACTCTGCACAGCGAATCGCGGCGCCTTAGACGACTGGGCCACCCGTGCCCCCCACAATACCTGTGCCCCCTGGTTTCACCAAAGTTGTAGACATCTGAGATCTGCATCACTTCGGGCTTTCCTCTCACATCAAGGTGACACGCCGTGATTTAACAGGAAAGCTGTTCAGAGAGGCGTTAAACCCAAAGTAGCCACTCACTCACTCTGAAATGACTATGAAAATCTGCACGAGGAACAAGATTTTTACGTATCTTGTTGACAAGTTTAAAATGAGGTTTGTTTTAATTTAAACAAAATATCGACAGGCCAGGAGTTCACGTTTTACATGCGGCTGTAATGCTGACGTGCTATGACGTCACTACATGGAAAAAGTGGCCATTATAATATGAAGAAAGTCAATGCCAGATTGCCGTAAATGAAAGAAATGCGTACAACAACCTGATGATATCCGAACACGCTTATATTAAAAGCATCTGTCTTATGTTTCTTCAAACATCTGTCGTTACCAAAATGTAAGACTTTGCAAGTACGAAGAGACTTCGAAATTCATTTCCAAATCTTTGTATGTGTTTGTGTCACTTTAATAAAGTATTAAATTAACCAAAGTGCGGAGAGAAGGATTCTAAAGATGTTTTTTAACTTTTTTTAATATCTTATTCAAATTAAGGTAAAAGATAAGGTAATAAACCACATAAGTGTTGAGAAACCTGAAACACCCAGGAAAGTTTTTGCTTCATCCGAAGTGATGAAAAGAAAATTACTTCCTCCAAGACTTTTGGCGCCTTGGTATTGCAGTGGATTGTTTCCGTGGAGCTATGTGTCCTATCTGTTGAGGGCAATTGTGCTATCAATCTTCGGAGACTGGTCTTCTCGATTAGTCGAGCTGCCAAATTGTAAATTTACTCCTTAAGGCCTCAGGGTAAAACAGATGAGTTTTAGTGACACAATCAATTGATATTCCCTAATGTTAAAGGTCTTTCGTTTATGTGATAGATTTGGACCGTGCTCTTGAATATATCACCATAGAATTACGGTCGTGTGTCAAATAGGGATGCGGTTTTGGAATGATAAAACCGCTTGACCGAGGATGAGGCAATTACTGATAAAGTGTTCCTTACATCAGTCTTGACTAGTTTCTGGTTTATATCATACCAAAGGAATTGAAAAGGAACGTGCTCCTCTGATGTGGATGCTGGACGCAGTAGTCAAAAGCTTTGTCTGGACCATGATGGGTGGGTGTGGAGGTGGGGGTGGAGGTAGGGGTAGGGGATGGTTGTGGGTGTGTGGGAGTTTGTATGGATACCAGCTACGTCTGCAAAGCCAGATATTTGTTTTTATTAAAGCCAGAGAACTTCTTTTCTTTTTTAATAAACAGCTTGCAACAATGCATTTTTTGTGGCTGACAATTTCTTTATTTTTTAGCAGTCAGAAACAAATATATTCGGGGACATCAATCGAATGGCAGCATCGATAAGTCACAGACCCTATGATTAATGTTAGTGCACTCACGAGAGTCCACCAATTTGTCACTGTCGAATATATTGACACGGACCTGTCGCCGTTCTTGAATCCAGAACAGAGTTGGGAGCTGGCAGACATTCGGGGTTACGTATCCAATAAGCACTTGGCAAGGAGATAAGACGCAAGTCAGGTCGGAAAAGGCCTCGAATCATCACCCTCTTTCCAGCCTGTGTAGGTACAGTTGAAACTGTACCGTCAAGACACGTCTCGAACGATCAATCCTGCCATGTAAACAACTAGGGTGGACAACTCTAAATTCCACTCGCTGTCGCCGACCGCTTTTCAAACCTGGCCAGGGCCTCGTTCCACAAAGCGATCTTAGTGCTACGACTGTCGTAAGCCAGTGTTAAAGTATGGGAGTTACGATCACCTTAGCGCTACGACTATCGTAAGCCAGTGTTAAAGTATGGGAGTTACGATCACCTTAGCGCTACGACTATCGTAAGCCAGTGTTTAAGTATGGGAGTTACAATCACCTTAGCGCTACGACTATCGTAAGCCAGTGTTAAAGTATGGGAGTTGCGATCACCTTAGCGCTAAGATTGCTTTGTGGAACGGGGCCCGGGACAGCACTTGGTATTTTTTACTGGTAGCCGAATCATTTGCTGCGGTTTCTTCAGCCATATTAATAGTACTTATACAGTACTAGTACTAGTTGCAGATTTTACCGTACAGTAGTAGTGTACGTACGCGTTATATGTTATTTGTCATGCTAAGTAATGCCGGATTTCGTTAACAGATCAGTTTTCAATTTTGAGGTATCCTTTATCAGTTTTACGAAGAAATGCCATCTAACTCAACGTTTCCCCTCATTCAACATTGTACCTGTGTTAGAAAAACAAAGGTTTGTTTCAAGACGTTATCCTATATAAAATATAACGTTAACGACAGGTAATAATCAGAATAGATAATCTAGCGGTACAGATTGCATTGGCGTAAGAGGCAAAATAGAGGTGAAAAATTGTATGAATGGATCACTGAAAATCAGTGATGACAACATGTGTTCGCGTCTACATCCACATGTAGGTTTTCACAATTCATCTCCTGGTGTCAGTAAACAGTTTATGCAGCGCTCGGAGTATATCGGGAGTTTCGGGCCCGTGGTCCATTGGGCGTAAAAGGCAAAATAGAGGTGAAATTTGTATGAATCGACCACTGAAAATCAATGACAACACCAGGTGTTCGCGTCTACATCCACATTTAGGTATTCACAATTCATCTCCTGGTTTCAGTAAACAGTTCCTGCAGCGTTCGGAGTATATCGGGAGTTTCGGGCCCGTGGTTTGGTACATCATGCTGTGTGTCCTGGCGACATGGATCCTCATCTTCCTCTTCGTCTTCAAGGGTACCAAGGGCATAGGAAAGGCAAGTGATGGATGGTTATCATGAAACACCAAATGAATCACATTTGCAGTTAACAGCGAGGTTTGCTTAAACCAGTCACATATTACGAGTGAATGAAACATGTCGATATCAGTTATCTTTGTCATAATGAATCAGTGTTGTGACTGCCATGATATATGTAAATAAAAGCGGAAACACCTTTTCCATATTCATAAGAAATCTCTGCTATATGTATGATACACAAGTGACTTTAATTTCATCTGATATTTAACTATTTTCCTGTTCTGAAAAATCATATTATGTATTACAATTTGCAAGATGTCGTGAAGATTTGACCAAAAAAAAAGTAACTGTGATCGTGTTCATTCAGTAATGTGAAAAATTATAACGATATTTTATATATGCTTTAAACATTTATTTGCCTAAGTGGGTACACAACACACAAATTGTCAAGATGTGCATGTTAATGCATCTTATTAGGGCTAAGGTTAAAATGAAAGTCAATCTCAAATTCTCTTTCCCGTCTAAGCTGCGGTACACCTTTGATGGGAAATGAAAGTAGCACAGCTGTTTTTGACTAATCTGTTTCTGAAATAAATACCAATATGATAAATAAGAACCTGATCTTTGGAGTTTGCAATCAATCACAGATAATGAGCGTATGACCTTTTCGAAAGGTTCATATTATCAAGAGAAATAGCAGCGTGCAACATGGTGTCAAGAATTATTAGTCATGTGTTAAAGATTTGTTTGTTCGTTTGTTGTTTAACGCCGCATTCAGCAATATTCCAGCTATATCACTGCGATCTGTAAAATAATTGAGTCTGGACCAGACAATCAAGTGATTGACTTCATGAGCATCGATCCACGCGATTGGGATATACGATGACATGCATGGTCCAAGTCAGCGAGCCTGAGAACCCGATCCCGTTAGACGCCTCTTACGACAAGCAGAGTCGCCTTTTACGGCAAGCATGGGTTGCTGAAGACCTATTCTACCTCGTATCTTCACGGGTCTCATGTATTAAAGAGAACGTATTTGACTCAGTATGGAACCTTCAGTAATTTGTCTAATCCTTGTTAACATGGATGTGTCTGAACAGATCCTGTATGTGCTAACACCCCTGACCATCATCTGTCTCCTCACCATCCTGGGGTATGCATACTCCACTGTCCCGAATGCCTGCAGCTCCCTCTATCAGATGTTTTCGGGATCCACTTCCAAGCACGAGTCGGTCACGAATAAACTGGAAGAGAATAACGTATTCTACACTCAGCTCGGAGACCCGAAGGTATAAATTACAATTGCATATCATATTATTTTCGTCATATAATATCAATCATGTCGAAATGTTATCTTTTACATGGAGTCCATGAGTCGCAAATGATAAACTATTAAATATTTATCCTCATCATCAAACCCATCTAAATGCATTCTTTCATATGGAGTCCATGTTACGCTGTGATAAACTGTTGAATATGTATTCCCGTATAACGATTAACGAATATTCGGAACCTTCTTAATAGGTTGTATAAGACTCCATGGGGAAAAGAAAATGCCATAGATGCCTGAAAACGTTTTCTTTCAGAGCATACATTATTCAGAATCATCTACATCCAACAAATTTTGTAAACCGCGGTAGAAGTAAAATAAAGAAATACACTTTGAATTACATGGCAGGGAGAAATAGTTTCTTGGCGGTATTCTAGTGGATCCCCGTGACAATAACATCCCTGTTAATTTTGAAGGAAAATATGGAGTATGACAATTTTAGAATAGTTAGTGCATGGATTCCATGGTCACTACAATGACGGCCATCAAGACAAAGTCCATTTTCATTTTATGCAAGAGGCATGGACCAGAACGTTATTCGATTATAAATTTCTTTGTTATATAATATTCATTATAAGCAACGAAATATATTTTTCAATGTAATATGAAAATAGGACTTGTTAATGCAGATATTCTAGGTTTCTATTCTATTCTATTTACAAAATGACCTTTTAGGTCAATTTCAGATACGCAAAGTATTTGAAAATAGGACATTTCCATGTCAATATATTCTAGTTTTGAAAATGAGCAAAGTATATGAAAGTGTGACATTCCTGTCCCTGTCCAGCTGTGGATCGATGCCCTGGATGTCCACCTGTTCAGCCTCGGCCTTTGGGCAGGGATCCTCCCAACTCTTGGAACCCACATCCACAACAAGAAGGTCATCATCAACGCGTAAGTGTGTGACTTTAACGTCCCTGTGATCACTTTTTCCACACTGGCCGTACCATGATGGAGATACCCCTTCATTCTGTCGCTGGTTCTATTGATTCTCCCGTGCTGCTTGTCCGGGCTGACTTGCTTCAAGGATCAAAAGCATGTTTTGCCTTTCAATAAAACTTTTTAGCCAAGCCTACATACTTTTTTCATGCTGTTCTGTTGGCAGTTACGTGAACCTTTTGCCAGACAGACTGGCTTCTTTCGAAAACATGATTTATCTTTCACCAGTTGCCGTTATTTTAGGATTTCAATCATAATATTCGTGTAAAAAGCATTTTATGTCAAATGTTTTTCAAAATGGATCTGCTAAGTATCGCCTGATTAGAGGCTGGCTTATATTTCTACTCCATTTTTACATACACACATCAAACAAACATTAAACACATTAACATCGAATAAGAAAGTCGTGTTTCGTTGTAATGTTGTAAATATGTGCAAAAAAATGTAGCATGGTTTTATATTATGTTTCAAACTCTACTACAGTGCCTGGGGTATCCTTCTGATCCTTTATTCCCTTATCCCACATCTGGTGTTCCTGGCGATAGCTCCTTACATCGATCCTTCTCAGAATCAAAGATGGTTCGCCAACGCTAAGGGCGTGAAACCAGGTAACGTTGAATTCGTAAATGACTGTTTGTCTTTTTTGAAAAATAGTAACCTGAGATATCCAGCGTTTGTTATGAGATTGTGAGTTTATATTTACCGTTCAATTACCGTAACACAACGGTACATTAAAATCTAATTTAACATAAATATAGAAATATCAGTGGAACCTTTGGAGTAAATGAGTTATTATCATGTCCACTGAACACGTCATTTGGTATTCACGAATTATTATTTTTAAAAAAACACGATGGGAGCTTTTTTAGTTGACCATATAAGAGTAACGTTTCATTTAATTGTATTTATGAATTATTTCGGTACTTTTAATGCATCCTGAATATGACAAAACTTGCTTTTGTAATGAGAAAATAATGTTTTTTGTAATAAATAAGCATTTTGAGTATATTTTGATATATCATGAATATGCAAAGCGATTGTCGTTGATGTTATGATACGTACTAAACTTGAAATGTTTCTCTCGTCGACTCTGTTTCTAGGCTTGTCGTTCATGTTTGTAACAATTCCTCTCACGTTCGACAAGTTCAGCCTGTCTCCCTTCATCGCTTCCCTAATCTACCTAACGTACTTCCTGCTCGGTCTTCACCACTTGGTAAGTCAATATGAACCCCCTGGGAATGTTAGCTTATCTGCTTGTTTTATGTATTACGTGAATAAATATAAATCCACAAATCCAAAAATCAATAAAGCCTCATCTGCAAAGACGCCATACTTGATAACCAAACCTTGGCAACTTTCTAAACAATCCTCGTTGATCATATTCTGCATTATATTTGAATACTCTTTGTTTGAACCTATTTTCAGTGTTGAACCCAATATCTACTTCGTCAACCATTTTGAAATATAGACGCGCTCTAGCTCAGTTTAGATCTGTTTCTCATAAACTACGAATGGAAACTGGCAGGTGGATTGGAGACGCAAGAAATTAAGGAATATGGGATATCTGTAGCTGCCATATATAGAAGATGGATTTAATATATTAATGCTATCGTTTAATGCAACCATCTTAAAACATTTATCAGTTTATATATATGAAGCTGTTTTAATGAGACACTCTGTATTTCTCGATGTGTGACCTGGGCCTATGGCGTTATATTACATCTGAATACACTACCACAAAATCACGAATATTGTAGACACCCAACGAAACTATTTATCTATCTAATACATGGACTTCGGTGTTTGTCGTTTCATCGTACCTAATGTTGGTAGAAGTTTTCTGGAAATATCAGTACAAACAGATGTCCGTGGAAACCTGGTTCCTTCATTGTGTACTCTACTGCAGGGTCTCCACACACTGATGATCTGGGAGAACCTGCTGCCCTGCGTCAACAAGAGGGTGATGATGTTCTTCAAGAGGCCGGACTTCCTACTTGCCTTGTTCTGCTTCATTTCCTTCATCCTTACTCTTCCATACACGTCACAGGTATGTCCTTACTCTTTCATTCACGTCACAAGTACGTCCTTACTCGTCCATACACGTCAAAGGTACGCCTTACTCTTCCATACACTTCACAGGTACGTCCTTACTCTTCAATACACGTCACAGGTATGTCCTTACTCTTCCAAACACGTCACAGGTATGTCCTTACTCTTCCATACACGTCACAGATATGGCCTTACTCTTCCATACACGTCACAGGTACGTCCTTACTCGTCCATACACGTCAAAGGTACGCCTTACTCTTCCATACACGTCACAGATATGGCCTTACTCTTCCATACACGTCACAGATATGGCTTCCTTTTTCATACACGTCACAGGTACGTCCTTACTCGTCCATACACGTCACAGGTATGTCGTTGCGCTTCCATACACGTCACAGGTACGTCCTTACTGTTCCATACACGTCACAGGTACGTCCTTACTCTTCCATACATGTCACAGATATGGCCTTACTCTTCCATACACGTCACAGATATGGCCTTACTTTTCCATACACGTCACAGGTACGTCCTTACTCTTCCATACATGTCACAGATATGGCCTTACTCTTCCATACACGTCACAGATATGGCCTTACTTTTCCATACACGTCACAGGTACGTCCTTACTCTTTCATTCACGTCACAGGTACGTCCTTACTCTTTCATTCACGTCACAAGTACGTCCTTACTCGTCCATACACGTCAAAGGTACGCCTTACTCTTCCATACACGTCACAGATATGGCCTTACTCTTCCATACACGTCACAGGTACGTCCTTACTCGTCCATACACGTCACAGGTATGTCCTTGCGCTTCCATACACGTCACAGGTACGTCCTTACTCGTCCATACACGTCACAGGTACGTCCTTACTCGTCCATACACGTCACAGGTATGTCCTTGCGCTTCCATACACGTCACAGGTACGTCCTTACTTGTCCATACACGTCAAAGGTACGCCTTACTCTTCCATACACGTCACAGGTACGTCCTTACTCTTCCATACACGTCACAGGTACGTCCTTACTCGTCCATACACGTCACAGGTACGTCCTTACTTGTCCATACACGTCACAAGTACGTCCTTACTTGTCCATACACGTCAAAGGTACGCCTTACTCTTCCATACACGTCACAGGTACGTCCTTACTCGTCCATACACGTCACAGGTACGTCCTTACTTGTCCATACACGTCACAAGTACGTCCTTACTTGTCCATACACGTCAAAGGTACGCCTTACTCTTCCATACACGTCACAGGTACGTCCTTACTCTTCCATACACGTCACAGGTACGTCCTTACTCGTCCATACACGTCACAGGTATGTCCTTGCGCTTCCATACACGTCACAGGTACGTCCTTACTCGTCCATACACGTCACAGGTACGTCCTTACTCTTCCATACACGTCACAGGTACGTCCTTACTTGTCCATACACGTCAAAGGTACGCCTTACTTGTCCATACACGTCACAGGTACGTCCTTACTCTTCCATACACGTCACAGATATGGCCTTACTCTTTCATACACGTCACGTCACAGGTATGTCCTTACTCTTCCATACTCGTCACATTTACGTCCATTCTCTTCCATACACGTCAAGGTACGTCCTTACTCTTCCATACACGTCAAGGTACGTCCTTACTCTTCCATACACGTCACAGTTATGTCCTCACCCCTCCACAATCGTCACAGATGTCTTGACCCTATCAACTCATATACCAAAGTCTAGAGTACTGTCTTTCGATTCTTCTGTGGTCCTATATACAAATTACCATTATCAACTGAATACTGAATAATCTCTATGATCGGAGTATTGTTGCCCTTTTTACGCTCTTGGGTAAATTGTGTACGTTGTACCTGATTACTGAGTGTCTCTCACTCAATCATAAAGCATTAAATCGTATCAAACATGCCTCTTCGTAAAAGAAAATATTCACATCGTATTTTCATCGTCACACTAAAACGACATAAACCTACACCTCCATTGAGACTTCACAGTTGGTACCGCATTCAAATACGCAGTCATTTCAGAGCGAGAGATCGCATCTACCCTGATCTTCAGGGCATAATTATGAAACTCAAAGGGACGTTAGATCTTTGAAATTCTCTTCCAATGAATTGTTTGATAGGCATTACTTAGAAGTTGGCGGATGACAAAGTAGACACGATTTATGGTTAACAACTTCATTAATACTGTGAAGATGACGTTTCGGTAAAGATCCTTATACCCTCTTGCTTGACAACGGTATCAGGATCTATACCGAAATATCGCCTTTACAGGATTAAAGAAGTTGTTATCCATAATTGTTTCTACTTTGTAATTCTCTTTCGTTGAAGAAAAAGATTTCGAAACCTGTAATACTGAACGCGCAATGATTAATATACTCTGTGTGACGGCGAGGTGTGCATGACGACGCACGACACCGTCGGTTGTGTATCAGAGGAAGGGTCGTGTGTTTGATCTCTGTGGTTGATGATTCAATATCCGGCACGGGGTCTAATGTGTTTGATCTCTGTGGTTGATGATTCAATATCCGGCACGGGGTCTAATGTGTTTTATCTCTGTGGTTGATGATTCAATATCCGGCACGGGGTCTAATGTGTTTGATCTCTGTGGTTGATGATTCAATATCCGGCACGGGGTTTAATGTGTTTGATCTCTGTGGTTGATGATTCAATATCCGGCACGGGGTCTTATGTGTTTGATCTCTGTGGTTGATGATTCAATATCCGGCACGGGGTCTAATGTGTTTGATCTCTGTGGTTGATGATTCAATATCCGGCACGGGGTCTAATGTGTTTGATCTCTGTGGTTGATGATTCAATATCCGGCACGGGGTCTAATGTGTTTGATCTCTGTGGTTGATGATTCAATATCCGGCACGGGGTCTAATGTGTTTGATCTCTGTGGTTGATGATTCAATATCCGGCACGGGGTCTAATGTGTTTGATCTCTGTGGTTGATGATTCAATATCCGGCACGGGGTCTAATGTGTTTGATCTATGTGGTTGATGTTTCAATATCCGGCACGGGGTCTTATGTGTTTTATCTCTGTGGTTGATGGTTCAATATCCGGCACGGGGTCTAATGTGTTTGATCTCTGTGGTTGATGATTCAATATCCGGCACGGGGTCTAATGTGTTTGATCTCTGTGGTTGATGATTCAATATCCGGCACGGGGTCTAATGTGTTTGATCTATGTGGTTGATGTTTCAATATCCGGCACGGGGTCTTATGTGTTTGATCTCTGTGGTTGATGATTCAATATCCGGCACGGGGTCTAATGTGTTTGATCTCTGTGGTTGATGATTCAATATCCGGCACGGGGTCTAATGTGTTTGTCATGTGTCTCCACAGTGTGGCATCTACCTGTATATGATCATCCGGTTCTACATGGATCGCCTTCTGTTTGCTCTCGTCATCTTCAGCATGGTACCCTTCATCATCGGCTACAGTGAGTACACCGCAATAATATTAATAATAATGATGATGATGATGATGATGATAATAATAATAATGCAGAAGGCTGCAGTGTTGGGGAGTCTTCACATTCTCCGAAAAGTTCTGGGTGGGTTTGACATAGCAGGAGTCCCATTCGCTGTCTGGGCTGCGTGTAGAGGGGGCAAGGGCCCGGAGCTGATGATGAGCCTAACCAGCCTGACTGTGCCAGGATCACCCAAACCCTCTTTGCCGCATTTTTTATTTTAATCTGTACATAATAATAATAATTTGTAATGCGCCGTAGGCCATCCGTTGACGCATGCTCAAAGCGCTAACGCCATCATTACCTCCGTCGATGCATCAGATTTTCTTTCTCGTCGCACTTGGGCGTATACAACCCCAAATGCCTGTGAAACGCAAGTAGTTTAACGGTCATATGACCATCTAATCCCACTGGGTACCCATTATGAACGCAGTGAAACGAGTAAGTTGGGTTATGCTACAGCTTTACAGACTCGAAGTTATATCATGTGTCAACTTCATTTGGAGGAAAACACGGAGTGATTCAGGACCAAGACGTTTACTGCTTTTGAGGAACCAAAGATCACTGGTATGAATTTGACAAACCGATAATCATGATCAGGGCGAATCTGGGATTCTAGCCCAGGTTTATAGGATCCTGACACGCCAAGAGGATGCAACTGTGGAGAATTAGATGACTCGGCCATCTGGCTCCTTTTATATGCAAAATATGTCATTTGACACATTGTAACGACACCTTGGTACATTTTAGGCAAATTAGGTTTTTTGAGTCGACTCAGGCGCGGAGCAGGATGTGTCAGTATGGAAACTGCTTGGATAGATGCTCATGCTATCAACCACTCGTTTAGTTATCCAGGATTCGATTACTAACAAGATGCCGTGATAAGACTGGAATAGGGGTGGCTGCAGGGAAGAAAACGAAACAACAGCTATTTTACTCAGTATATTTATTATTGAATGATAGAATAAAATCATGGCATTCAACCACATAAGACTAATGTCTCCATGTTGACAGCACTGTTTATTGATGGAAGCTTGAAGTTTATAACTTGATGTTCTGTGTTCCAGTCCGCCAGGAGACATTACGGCTGCCGATAGAGCGTCTGTCTATGAGTCTGTGGTATGGACTGGCCTCCTTGGTGTCCGCGGTAGGTGACCATGGCCAGCAAAGCCCCAACTTCCGGTCAATCTGATTTTTTTCAAACAAGAAGAGAAATGACCGCTTCAACTTATTTTTTTTGTAGCACAGAACTTTATTTCTCCCAGGTTGTGAAAAATAAATTCGTTCACATTCTGACAAAAAATGTGTCTTGAGGGTCCCAAAACAATGTTGATCTCTTCCCTTCAGATAAAGTTGTACGTATTGAGTGAGTGAGTGAGTATGGTTTTACGCCGCTTTTAGCAATATTTCAGCAATATCACAGCTGGGACACCAGAAATGGGCTTCACACATTGTACCCATGTGGGGAATGGAGCCCGGATCTTCGGCGTGACGGGCGAACGCTTTAACCTTTATGTTACACCACCGCCCCTGTGAGTCCTGTAGCGCGTACTAAAACATAAACCGTCGCAAACAAAAAATCCCGCCCTCCCAAGTGTAACCCCTATCTTTCTAATGAAAAATATACCGATTTTTACTCGAATCTGTAATCTCTGTGAGTGAGTGAGTGAGTGAGTGAGTATGATTTTACGCCGCTTTTAGCAATATTCCAGCAATATCACGGCGGGGGGACACCAGAAATGGGCTTCACACATTGTACCCATGTCGGGAATCGAACCCGGGTCTTCAGCGTGACGAGCGAACCTTTAACCACTAGGCTACCCGACCGCCCCTTGTAATCTCTGTGAAAACATTCACAGGGGATCAAATCTCTTAATGTGTCCAGTATTTGAACCAGGAAGCCGCAATTATCTCTCACCCTGCTATAGCAACAATCCATGTATGCTTAAATTGTTTATACTATTCGGCACGAAAAAGTCCGAATATTACAAAATTTGTGTACTCTTATACTGAGTTGTTATAAGTCCCGCTTAGACCCAATGTGTTCCCCGGGCAAAAGGAAGTATACATGGTGGCTAGAAACTGAAACAAACAAGAAATGTTTTTTTCTATGCTGATTGATACTGGTATCGTAGTTTTGGACCTTATGTTTGCGGGGTGGTGAAGTAGCCTAGTGGTTAAAGGGTTCGCTGGTCACGCCGAAGGCCCGGGTTCTATTCCCAACATGGGTACTGTGTTTCGAGCTAATTTCTCGTGTCCCCCGCTGTGATATATTGCAGAAATATTGCTAAAAACGGCGTTAAACCTTACTCACTCAACTTACCTTTGCAGTGTTTAGGGGACTTTTTTTCCGCCTAGTAATGTTTGACAATTTTATTGGTCAAATCCAATTTTCAAGTTTTCAACTTTCCCGGCAGTTTATTTATATCTGCGTCTTCTGAAAACCATATTTTGTAAACCATACTGTACATACACATCTATGCATGAAGGAATACTATGTACATACGTATAACAATCCTGTCCTACTTATACCGCTAATAGCGGTCTGATTGTGTTGAAGTTGTTCTGTCGGTCAGTTCCCCTTATTGAGGGACAAGGTGCGACCTTCATTATACGTCTAGACGTTTATTTATTGCCTTCTGTAGAATTAAGACATTCTAATGTAATTAGAGCGTTCAGTTACTGCTAATATACAAGATAGATCCTACAAATTGAGTTATAAGACGTTTGTAGTGATGTGTCAATAAGCCGACAGACATCTAATTAACCTGTGGCAGAGTTTCACACTCCGTTAACACAATCTAGGGAGACAATGTCGTACACGCACCTTATTTTAATCTTTATTTTTGAAGGGATATGTCTAATTACTTTACGTTACTCACCATATACTAGTACATGTTTTTTCCCCACATTTTATGCATCAACAGCTTTAGATACATTTTTTAAATATTCACTTAATTTCACTTTACATATTTTACATTTTCGTAATCCCCGATATATTTCGATTTACATATGCTGGTTAATAGTGATTTACAAAATAAATATTTAAAAAAACCTTTGATATACGTCCGACAAGTTTGAAGTAGCTGGTCAAATTGGCTAATTCCGTATCACTTCGGGCTTCTGATTGGTAAATCATGTTTGATTGACAGATGGCGATTGTTTTATTAGCCTAATTCATCAATAGAGAATGACTATACTCCTCGGTATTTCTCCTATTGTGAGTCTAAAAATTTTGAAATCTAAAAAAAGTTGTCATTTTGTGAAACTGAGACATTGTTTCCATGTAACTAGGGGGATTGTTACACGTTTCTTTGATGTAGAATTGTGTAAGCAATCAAACATATTGATATTTGAACGACTAGAATCAAATTTGGTGGAACTGCCAGTTTGCTTGAGCTTAATCCACTATATTGGAGACCACACTCCGAGGGCCACTGTCAACTTTCGGAACCGCCCATTAGGTTTCAGTCGTATCTTGCATGGCACTGGGCTATTTATCTAATTAGGGATAACGTCTGTTTGTATATCGATCTAAGTCAGATAACAGCGAGACGGTTTTGAGTCGACCTTTTAATATTTGGGGAGGATGATCTGTTTAAAAAAACACACACCATTGTTTCCGAAAATACTGAGAAAAGTAATTTGTCCTCAAATTTTAGAAAAAAAGGTAATTGTACTTTAGACGTGATGGAAGTCCTGAGAAAGGTGTTTTGCAAAACGTTAAAATTTATCGGCCCTACCTTTCGGAGAAGAAAGGTGTATGTCTAGACGAAATGTCCAAAAATTATCTCTAATAGACAAACAACTACCATGCCCACCGCCCAGAATGATATGTGGTCGGAATATTAAGAGGTGTTCCAATGACGTTATCAAACTTACTGGAACTACCAAATGACACGCGTTTTGTTCCCGTTCAGTATGAATATACATACTTAATGTTCTGTACTCCTTACAGTGTCTGCTGATCTACTACTTCGCCGTGTACGTCTACCAGGAGTCGGTAGTGAGCATTGAACAGCGCTGGGCGGAGTACCTGGGGTGGCTGGCCTCGATCTCGCCAATCATCTTCGGAGTGATACTGGGAGCTGCGCACGCCGTGTGGAAGGAGACCGGGTCATTAAAAGGGGTAACAAGAGATTCTAATACACTGTTTCTCATTGGTTTAACGTAACGGATGCAGCACGTGTTTCGATAATACAGCCTTTCTGATTGGTTTAAATATTTATAAAGGCATTACATGTTTTTCCATAATACACCGTTTCTTATTGGTTTTACATATAACTGAAGGGAGGTAGCTCCTTGTAGAAGTAACTTTAAGGATTAATGCTGGCTTTTGTCTGTTCAATGCTAAATCGAACTGTCATGTATTGACGTTGTATCCACTACGATACGAATGACGATATTATATTCAGAATACGATATGTATCACGATATGTATCGTGATATATGTTTTCGATGTAAAACTGTGTATATAATACAAGTTTAATATAACTTAGGAAAACAAATGATGATTTTTAAAAATCAATCTGATGTCTTGTATGTAGATTTGTGTTGTTGACAACAATTGTACACGATCTGTCTAAGTAATGGATGACGTATGAACATAAGATTACAGAAACTGAGTGTCAATAGATAGTATACGTAATTGAAAACTGTAAGAACTGTTGTTAAATGTTTGTTTTTTTCTATTTAACCATTACTCCTTCCTGCAACAGTTTGTAAAAAGTAATCTGTGGTGGGGTAATTTTCGGCACAATAAATTGGTTCCATGACGACTGGGGTTAGAAATGAATTTGCAACCGCATAACCCTTATTTTGAAATATTCACGTCGAATTACTTGAACAAAACATGTAGAAGTATTTTATGAGTTTCTTTGGATCTCGGATATAATGACGCTAACTTAAGATATTTTCAATTGGAAATAAAAAATATAATACAATCTAATGAGAGGTACAGTTTCCTTCGCTGGTATGCTTTTGCTGGGTATAGTTTACCCGAACGTTGTCGGTTGTCTGCAGGTAATAGAAATAAAGTTACACACCTACACACAATAACCGTGTAAGTGAATCGTTGAGCTGAGACCGGTTTACTTAAGGCATAGCGAAATTGCATAACCCACAGTAAATATGAATGGAGCAATGAAAAAATGAAGAAAAAAAACGGAAAAAAAAGTTACATATTACGTACATGATTATGGGATGCTGATACTGGGGAACATTTCACGTCGGGGACACCTGCACAGGAATGCCAAAAATATTAATTCTTCATAACTTAATATGAGAGCTATACTGAGAATATTTTGAAATACATTATTAATCAGATAAACGTAAAATAATTCCTCTACCTCATCATCCATTTGCAGCGGTTCCTGCAAGCTCTGCGGACGGGTCAGCTGCCAGATGACGTCATGGACGACGATTACACGTCGGTCCAAACCGGGGACACGTCAATGCCCCAGGCGAAGTCGCCATTACCAAGCGAGCACCACGCGCACGAACGTCCAGTGATGATCCCAAATGAGTTCGTGCAACCAAAGTCAGAGGTCGAGGTCAGCATTAAACCGCCGGAATATGGCGACGTTGTCCGAGTGTGAAAGGGCGGAAATGACGAAATATCACCAAAGAGAGGCTCACACAAAGACTATCCAAAAAACAGAGGAGATGTTCCAAGTGCTGTTTGACATTAACAAATATTTGCGATGTTGATAATTATCTCTCTGTTTTATTTAAGAAAGGTATGCATCACACAGAAACTACAACGGAGGCCTGCGACTTTAAGTGTGACGGGAAAGTGACAGTGACTTATTGTGGATATCATTTGTCTCTGGCATTTAATGAATTTCGACTTTGTCACTTATTCTGAATCCAACCGAAGTAGCACAACTGATATAGACTTATATGAATGAGTACAATGTGCAGGATTATTCGTCAACATCCTACAGCAGAAAAGTCTTAAAGATTAGAGGTCTGTATTTAAAAATGAGCCTTTAATACCCCTAGCGGAAATTAAAGCGAAGTCCCAACATAGTAATGGCTAAAAATAGATTCGTCATAATAAATTGCCTCACGAATTTGTGCCTCCACACACTAGACATGGCGGAACGCATATACATGTACTACCAAAACCATATGTACGATACTCATTGCATTCCATGGTTTGGTAGATCTGCTTGTTGGATGTTGACTATGAGTATTGGACCATTAATAAGGCCTTAAAAAAACTTATAAAATATGATAAATATGGACTTGTGGCAAAACAATTTTGGGTCGACTCTGTTTTAAAGTTGCATAAAATTAAAAAAACGCGCGATTATATACCGCTATTCGTATGAAATAGTGACTAATACGTATAAAATCTTTATTCTCACTACAAATCCAATCATATTTCGGTATCGTTTCGCAATAGTAACCCCGTGTTGGTGTGACCAAGTAGCGGTTCTAATCTGGAAGTTGAATTTATATTTATTTGATTCGACCACCTACATTGATATTAAGGCCAACACTTTTGTAAACCACCTGATAAAAAATAAAAGGCCTGATGGTTATACCGTATGGTCATGTTGCCGAAAGACCTTGAGAGTTTAAAGGATAGTTCTCTAATAAATGGTTTGGAAGGAATAAGAACGAAAAGGAGAGCTCATTTTATGATTTATTACAAATTGTTCTCAAACACCGTGCTTAATGTGGTGAAACGTCGCCTTGAAGTGTATCAAGTATGTAAATGATATTCAATGTGTATATTATAACATCTCGGCGTGTTTGTGTATGTGAACTACACTACGAGCATAACATCAAAATAACGTGTGTGTTTAAAAAACACCAGCTGAACACCGTGTGCACAATCATATAAAATACGTGTTTGGATTTTATATCTTGTGAATGTCGTGCGGTTCGAGTTGACACGAATTCCACATTCATTCGATAGGGATTTTATCTAAGGAATTTATGTTTAAATCGTTTATATCATTGTAGGACCTGGCAAAGGCGACAATAGTTACAAATTGATGAATGATTTAAAATTTGTAAAGCATTATTGAATCGTGTCAACGCGACCTTAACACAACCTGGATCTTTTGTAACCTGCATTAAATGAAAATATTGTAATATTAATCCCGTTAGATTTCAATTAGATTTGTACGAAAGTGGCACACGAAGACATCAAAGAGACATGTTCTTGAAACAAGATACATTGTCATGATTAAACGCAGCTTGCTTCCATATCCTAACAAACATCTCGCCCATTAACTCATTACTCTTTCGTCATCCATAGTCAATCATTTAGATATTCGTGTATCAACATCAGTGCTAGATCTGTTACCATCTAAAGATGGCTGTTACATTACTGTAATGATATATTGTGTGACGTACTGAGAAACATCGCTAAAATTGTTTTGAATCTTATTTTTCGGATAAGCAATGATTCGATTAGTTACCTTCTCACGACATCGATTGGATATTTATAAACTTTGTTATGCGGATACTCAAATGAAATTGCTCACTTATTTTCCCATGATGATATATAGTTGAATATTATCAATAATATCATTAATAATTATCGCACGAAAAACAGGAGAGAAATGTTGAGCCATGGATGACTGAAAAACATACAACTGCAATAACATCAGATTGACACAGCGGAATCTCGTTGATCGGAAATTTTACTGGACAAAGGATCCACTTTGTAAAAGTCAATATTTTGTTAGTCCTACTTCTCCATGGCGTTTTATTGTTCGGAATAACCAGATCCAACTGTATTGGTTAACTCCAGTTATAACTAACCCAAGTATAACATGTTTAACATGGCATTACAATAATACCAGTCAACATTTTAGTGACATCATCTCGCCTTACATCATCATGACGTCATCGTATACGTCATAATCACGTGTGACTTGTTGTGTATATTTGTAAATATTGCTTTATTCATGTCATTATGTTATGATCCGGGGACCAATGCAATTTCTTGTCGTATTTTGAAATCCTAGATAGTTAGCACATAGGTATTGACATGTTCAATTCTACAGTTGCATATGCTTAAATGGAAGGGAATCTAATCTCATTAAAAAAGCCATCCTTTGCTCTGATTTGATACCCCCACCCCCTCTCCTGAACTACGTCTACATGTAGTCATAATTTAAACTCAGAGCCTCATTAATATATAAAGCAGAGTCGTCAAGTTTACCAGAAAAAAACATTATCGACATGGTTTGCTCAAACGAAGCATAGCAAGGTGTACTGCAAGGGCGATGTTTTTATCATATCTTCTTTCAGTATTTTACTAATATGTTTTGAAAGTACAAATAGATACTTATAATAAAAAGATATTATAATAAAGACGTCCATCATATCATTGTTTTGAAATGACATTGCCCATTGTCTCACACATACGCAACTGTAAAATAGTTCTTTACTTAATCTCCAAACATGCACTTTGATCACAACTTGTTAAGATATCACGTATAGGTTGCAATGCTGTTGTTGACATAGAACGCTTTCTGCACAATTACGATAATTCAATAGCTCAGCATAGATCATGTATATTTATACATATATAAACAATACCCAATGTGTCGTGTAGTGGTACAAGTGTTTGAATAGTCGTATATTAATGCCAAAACTTATATCATGTGGTACTATCTTCTGACTGTTCAAACTATCGTGCGTAAGTCCTTTTAGACTATTTCGAGACTTTTAGAATGTGACTTTGTTATACCATTTCTGTATTATTTTGTATATAATCAACACTATCATTTTGGTTCAGAGATGTACATTATTTCTTACTATGTTTTTTTTATCATTTAATGTTTCGTCAATCAAAATTCGATTCACATTTATTAACGTTATCTTGGAAATTTACGGCACTTTCATTTCAGCGTTTAAGTTACATTCAACAAAACATGTTTTGTTCGTTGGATCCAATAATAGTTTAATCGTGTGCTGTACTGATGTTCACCATCCTTTGCCACAGTTTTATATGTGTCATTTTTGTCAAGCTTTACAAATAAAGTTATACTCATGAGACCTATTTTGTGCTTGATTATCATCACTATTTATCAGTGTATCCAACGGTGGGTTATTCTGCATATTCCCGAGTCAAGAAAGTTAACTGACAGATTCCACCCTTGCCGAACTAGGCTGGTATTATGGAGTTATACTTTGGCTGGACTAACGAATCTATGCACAGTCCAATAAAAACCGCGCAACGAAATCGAAATCCGGTGAGTAAACTATCATGCAGATTTCGGTCGATTGCAGGATTTGCAAAGCATGTGTACCGACACGTTGTCAACAGATATTTTTCACGTCTTTTCGTGTGTTAATCAATGTGCTCACGTGATTTGATGCACTTCGAGATGTAAGACCCGTTTTATCCCAATATAGATCTTATTTATCGAGCAGATCGTCTTGACTGGGCGCCGCCATTATGTTTGAAATAAATGCAAGTGATACGAGAAGTGGAATCTGATTGGTCCATGGGAGAGGCTTGGAAGAGATATAAATCGTAATAACCACTGGTGGCGCTACGATCTAGCTCGGGAATTCCAGCCCAGTTCGGCAAGGGTGGAAACTGGACGTTTAAAGTCAGTTAACTGCCTTGCCTCGGGAAGATGGTTATTCTGTGACTAAAGCGTTTACTCGTCACGTCGAAGACCCGGGTTCGATTCTCCACATGAGTACATACAAAATATGTCCGATTTCCCATACTGCCACAAACCGTGAAGCCTATTTCTGAGCCCTTTCTGTGCTATGTGGTAGCAGAGACTGTTGTAAATAATGTGTTACTTTCAGTGACAGCAAATGATTGAAGTAGTAGTAAAATGTCGAGTGCTCTCAGCGGCAGCTAGTGTTTTGAGTTATCTCCCCTTGGTTGTTTACAAACTTGTCAGACTTGATCGTTAGAGAAGTTGTGGGATGGAACATTTACTTGAAGGCTGGCTGTACTTACTTAGGCGCGACAAGAGAACTTCTTCGGCCTGGCATGCGTCTTCTCTACTTACGAAGTGCTAATTGGATACATATTTGTAAGCATCGAATTCCTGCCAGGTTCCAACACTATTGAGGAGTCCAGAACAGAGTCAGGCCTGTTTCTTGACATTCGCCAGTAGCAACATTCTCAACATCCATAAGTGCTGTGACATTAACTAGTGCCACATACTTGACCCAATGTGTTGCCTATTTTTATTGTAACGCTAAAGCTGTGTGTTTCGATATAATGTATTTATTATGCATTGATTTTGAGTGATCATTTACTGATTTACATAATTCAGTCCTTTAAGTACACATTTCTGGATTAACCTTTGCGTTTCAATTTTAAATCACAATGTAACAAGAATTGGGGGCTCGTCCAGTTTCCTAGTTAAATGTGATGAAAATTCTAAACCAAATAATCTGTGCTAAATTTGCCAGTGTTTATTTTGTCCAGGATTATTGTGAAATCAGCATCTGTAACATAGAGTTTAAGGTTGAGATATTGTGGAGCGTCCAAGTGAGGAGGATATGGGGGATTTAGAAGGAATAAAAAGTATTATCTTTAGCTGAGTGTTATAACCTTGATGCAAAGCCTTCAATGATCATGAATGAAATTAGGAAAGTTGTTCTGGAATACTTGTTTGATGAGGACATTTTGAGTGATTTAGCTTTGGCATTGTTAAATGAAAAACAATCTGATAGTTTTGAACTGAAAATACTGAAAATGTGATTTCGAAGAGCAGAAGCGGAAAGAATTGGAAATTCAAAAAGAAAGAGAGGAGAGGGATAACTAAAATTAAATGAATTAGTATTTCTAAAAGAACGACAAGGAGAGGGGATGAGAGACACCTTATATTGAGGGAATTGGAAGTGCAAAACATAAATACCCCTCTCCATGTTTTCAAATTTCCGTTGATGAGACTCAACATATCAGGTTAGTCCTTCAAGTGAAAGAAGTTGACAATGCAATACATTTGAAAAGGCATGAAGAACATCAACCACCAGTTGATGTGAAGCATCATGTGTTAGCATTGAGCAAAGCACTTAAGACAGCACTGACCAGCTTCAGGATGAAATATCAGGTATATTCAAGATCTCCCAGAAGAGTTCAGACGACAATAATGTCATATGTGATCTTCATGGATCACTCTCTTCAGGATACCATTTTCTCAAATGTACTTGTCCCAAGAGTACTTTTGTTTCGAGCAGTAGTGCTCATTTTCCGGGCGCTGATCCTGAACTCTCTCGAACGCTGCTCATTTCGAGGGGGTGGCGATCGTGAAATTCAAGGTCACCCAGGAAGAACATGATGCTGCCACTCACCTCATGCTATACAAGACAAGTAGAACACACCGAGCTTCAATGAGCAATGTCATAGCTATTCTGATATAATTAACGTGCAAAAGACGGGCAAAAGAACGTTTACAGACAAAGGTACAGAGCTTTGTTGAAACAAACAAGAAATGGTTATTTGATATAGAAGTATTTGATAGGGTATCATAGTGGTGTTCTCGATCACAAGTTTGCAGTGTTTCGGAGCTGTTTTCAGCCCAGTAACGTTTTGATAGCGTCTATAATGTTTGGGGTCAAATCCAATTTTCAAGTGCATACTTTCATTTGCCCCGCAGTTTAGTTTACAAGCAGCTTCTCTATTTTGAGTGAGTGAGTGAGTGAGTGGAGTTGTAAGGAATATTCCAGCCATATGACGTCGGGTAACACAAGGAATGTGCTTCACACGCTGTGTCAGTATGGGAAAGCGGTTTCAATGTCATTATTTATGTATAATATTTATAGTGATACTTGTTGTTTGAACACCAAAATTTGAATTCATACTGTTTTCTCCTCTTGTGTCAACTGATCGATTCCGACTATTGTGATTCAAAAACTGATATAAAAACTAGCTTAAAAATTTTAATTTTTAAAAATTTTAATTTTTAAAAATTTAATTATTATTTTTTTTGCGTTTGAGTGGTTGCGTTTGAATTGTCTCTCAGTATATTGTCATGTTAGGGCGTTGTATGACGTTTAGACGAATGGAGGTTTATTTTATTTCGTGAATTACACAAGTGTATGAGGCGACTAATTTGGACAGAGACATCAGGCTCTGTGACGTGACTGACCGCTGCGTCCCCGGCGTGGACATGGCCGTCGTGATATGTTGCAAGCTTGACATTACTGCGAACACAAACGAGTATCCCTTAGTGTATTGGACCGCCTCCGTGGTCTAGTGGTAGAGCGTCATACCAAAAGACGTTAAAAGATGGTACTTGTTGTTACCCTTTCTGGCGCTCGGCATTAAGGGGCTAAAACAAGGACTGGTCGGCTCGGAGTCAGTATACTGTGTCTGAGTGGGGTAGTCATGTTAAACTGCGGCATGGTATCTCAGTGAGCTAGCACTATAAATCGGCATCAGTCCGGACTAGTACAAGCAGCCACACACACACACACATACATGCACGTCGCTATATAAGTGCAATAATCTTGGACGCGACGTTAAACCCCATTTCACCTCACCTTGCTGTATTGTTCTAAACTATTATTAAATATTTGAGTTAATTGTCATGTCAGGTTCACTTCCCATGTTCTTCAAACCAAATACCGTGCAGAATGTGATCAGTGTGTTGGTCAAGCATTATGACAACCGCCGATTCGATTATGAATGTTAGCAAACTGGAAACGTCACATGTCCACTGGGAAATTATGTTCAGTGCAATATCATGCTCATTGACCCGTGAAGATTTGGTCTTCAGCTTCCCATGCTTGTCATAAGAGGCGACTAAAGGATCGGATGGTCAGGCTTACTTGGTTGATGCATGTCATCGTATCCCAATTGCGTGGATCGATGCTCATGATATAAATCACTGGATTGCCTGGTCCAGACTCGATTATTTGCAGACCGCCGTCGTATAGCAGGAATACTGAAGTGTGTGGCGTTCAACAACAAACAAACAAAAATGACAACCGCCAGCCGCATGTGACGGCGTCTGTATTTTGGGCAACCTTGTCAAAATTATCCAGCTGGAGCTGGAACTTGCTGACGCGGCATAAATATTCACTTACTCACAATGGAACACTTTTATCTGAGATGCAGAGACACACATCAATGTTGTAGAGGTATTCAAATCTGGCATCTAAAGCACTGACAGACATAAATGTGCATCTTCAAATACTTAGGCTCTCCAATAATTGTAATTACAATGAAGATGCTACCCTGTAACTCACACTGTTTAAAGGTCGCAGGGCCATCTGAGAGTCAGGAAATGAAGTTCTTGGTGTAGATCACTGTTGCTATGTAGAGCATGATTTGTCCTGACGTGTCATGGATAGTTTTCACATGTCTTATTTACCTGTTGTCATGATCTGTCTTGATAGTGAGTGAGTGAGTGAGTTGGGTTTAACGTCGCTTTTAACATTATTCACGGTTATATCACGGCGTGTCAGCTTAATGTGGAAGGAAAGTCCCAAGTGATGCAGTCTTAGACGTTTACCACTTCGGTGAAACCCACGAGCACGGGTATGGTGCTGACAAACCTAGAAACCTAATCGGGGCGAACCGGGATTCGAACCCACAATCATAGGTTTCTGGCGTGCCCAAGGGACGCAACTCTGCACAGCGAATCGCGGCGCCTTAGACGAATGGGCCACCTGTGCCCCCCTGTGTTGATATATAATTACTTTAGTGCCACGATTATAATAGACGATTTCGGCTCCGACTTTGGTCACCCAGTCACCCAGAAGTGAATGGGTACAAGGTAAGAGACTGTTAGCCTTCTAGCGCCTCAAAGGCAGCGTGGACTGCATACTCCCCAGGGAGCTGAGAGTGAATGAGTATGGCTTTACGCCGCTTTTAGCAATATTCCAGCGGGGGACACCAGAATTGGACTCCACACGTTGCACCCATGTCAGGAATCGAACCCGGTCTTCGGCGTGACGAGCGAACGCTTTAACCACTATGCCAACCGACCGCCCCAGGGAGCTGGGAAAGAAAATCGAATGGATACTGACCTATTGACCAGGGTAATAGTGGTGTTAGAGCCTTGAACAAACCACCACGGATGGGATATATAACATAACACGTATCCATTTGTTATTGTTATCATTAAGAGAAATAAACAAACAAATCAACTTACATGAATATATTTATTTGGCAGTGACACACAAGGGAATGATATGGTTATGTCCCAAAACCCCTACAACCCAGTTCCCCTACAATTAGTTAAAACAACACGCGGCATTTACCTGTCTGGCATTATGAACTCACCTAAAGGAGAGATTAAGGTCTGGAGTAGAGGTAGTAGAAATGAAAGGGGTAGAGCTTTAGGGGATTAGGGGACTTAAAGGAAAGTTTTAAAAAAATAATTTAATGTAAGTGTAATGAAAGATGCCTGTATGATACCTGTTTGATGGTTATCTTCACACTAAGAACGTCGAGAGACAGATGAAATTTATTATAATGTATTAGGAATTTTGAAAAATATCGTAATCGTATTAAATATTTATCTCAATCTATTCGTGTTTCTTGGGTTGTTCCATTGTATGAAATAGGTAACAGACTAGGGATTAGCAGTGCCATGGACCGTGAACTTTGTTGTCTTAAGCTGTAGGGGAAATTGGATGTAGGGGTTTTGGGAGGTTACCTGTCGTTGTACAGCTATATAAATTACAGTCTTATTTCAAATACTGGAAGACAGGGGTAAAGGATTGGTGTAAGTGCCGTAAAACATCTTTGGAAATTGAGGCCGTTATAAGTATTTAAAAAGGAGCCAACACAATTTTTTTCCAAATACAAAACAAACTAAATGATTTTTGGATAAATCAGTAAAACACGCATACTGAGTTTACCTAAACCGTTTCATGAGGAATCAGTTGTCATGTAATAAAACACAATAATGACATCGTTATTTCCTCAATTGTGATATCATGGGACGAAGAAACCAACGGGTTATGGAATACACATGTATCTTTTCTCGCATTCCTAATCGACAAAAAATGTCTCTTGGTTATTTACTTTTCAATTCAACAAACTATTTCCAAAGGTGTCTTGAAAGAAGATAAAATCAAATCTTGAATAACAATCGTAAAAATGACAATTCGTGATAAAAGCGGATATTTCAAGAAAATGCTGACGAAAATATACATTCCATATAGGTCACGGATGTCTAGGTCATCCATAAGATAACAGACAAAATGTTCTTGGAGTTCTCTATTCATGGTATACTCTATGCAACAGTCAACAGTCATAACTACAGTAAAAAAATAGAAGAAGCGTATTATGCACCAAACAGTACTTTGTAAATCCAAATACCGACAACAGCCATTACAAGAACATGTCCTTTGGAAGACAACAAATACAGGTCTGTGCATAGGGTGAGTCCACTTTTGGATTTTTGCTCATTTGACACTCTGAAGTGCAGCTGAGTTAAAATCTGCACTAATACAACTGAAAAAACGAGCTGTCTGTGATATCATTTCAGTTCGATCACGGCGTAGTAGCCTAATGAGTAGTGAGTGAATATAGTTTTACGCCGCTTTTAACAGAATTCCACATTTCACACACTGTACAGATGTGGGAATCGAACCCGGACCTTCGGCGTGACTAGCGAACGCGTTAACTATAAGGCTACCACCATCACCCCTTATAACCCGATGTGTCAAAAGTAACGCAGATCGAAGAACACTTTGGTGAAACCCACGAATGAATCTAGTTTTAAGTACATGAACTGCGGATCCTGATGCCTTCGGGGTGAAACTCTTCGAGGTTAATAGCTACCAGTACACATGGATTGTACAAAATGAAAATAGATAAAAAAGAGCCAATAAGACTGTGAATAAACCCTGAGGTTATTCTGGTAATGAATATACTTCAAGTGAAGTTATTTGTATAGTTTTTCATCAGAACATGAAAAAACGGGTGAACATTAAAAATATTATATCAAACATCGCACTAAAACAAACATTCACATGTATGCGTATTGTTATCAAAATGAGATACGGTCAAACACCGTTGTGTCGAACTTCCGGTTGTCTCGAATACAAAGCTTGGTCCCTGCGTATTCCTTCTTTATTCATCATTTTCGGTTGTGTCGAACCTCGGATAACTCGAAGTATTTACGTAGATCCCTTCAACTTCGACACAACGGTGTTTGACTTTCTATAAACATATGTCTACATCGCCTCCTTAGCATTCTTAGCGTGATATTTTGATGTTGCTCTGAACAGTATTCCAGTTATATCACGGCGTGTCTGCTTAATGTTGGAGGAGCGGCCGAAGTGATGCAGGTCTCAGACTTTTACCACTTCGGTGAAACCCACGAGCACGGGTATGGTGCTGACAAACCTAGAAACATAATCGGGGCGAACCGGGATTCGAACCCACAATCATAGGTTTCTGGCGTGCCCAAGGGACGCAACTCTGCACAGCGAATCGCGGCGCTTTCCTCAGACGACTAGGCCACCCGTGGTGAAACGATTGGTATGATGACAAGCCAAGAATCATTATCAAGTCGACTATGGGATTCGAACCTGCGATCAAAGGGACTAATGGATGTAACTGAACCACCCGTCACTTGATATCACATGCTGCAAATTACAAAAAGTGTATGGGGAAAGGGTTTCTTCGATTTGACCATGAAAACAATGCCACAAACTTTGATTCATGTCGTCACGAACTGAAGTTACATGTAATTTGTAAAAACAATGAAAAAAAGTTGTAAAACATTCAAGCATTTTCTGGGACAGTTTACCTTTTACTATACGATGACACGCATCCCTCCACCCCCCCAGATTAAATGATCGGTTCCTTAGCTGACCTGACTCTTTCGGGATTTCTGAATATATACTACTCAAAAGAAGTTAAGGATCACCCAATTCTTTCATATTGGTAATGTTAATCTGTCATGGCATGAGAGATTAACTTTTGTAATATGAAACAATCAGGTGATCCTTAACTTCTTTTGAGTAGTATATATATAAATATGCTTCAATGGCACATCATTCAAAACGCTAGGATGTTTAGCACTGAGAGACTCCATTACCCCGTTTCAGATTCATAGACGCTATATTTTTTTGAGAGGATGTTGGCAGACAACGCTTTGTAATCTCAACGTATAACCTGAGTACTAGAGATAGCCAAGCTCATCTTTTATTGATAATATTAGAATTGAGTGTGGTAATGTTTTTGTATCTTACTCAATATGTACTTAAAAGATACATTTCACAGAATCAATACATTTAAGAATGATGTTAGAGCACGCTCAAAAAGGTAAATGACTTGACAGTGGCATTAATATGCACGATTTATTATATTTATAACTCTTTTGATACCTTTTTTCAGATTGTTGGCATGCCAACCTCTTTGAATTATGCAGATTGGAATCCTTTCGGGAGAGAAGGCTGTTATACACATCATCCACAGATATTAAAGGCAAATGTCAAATTCATTAGAGAAGAACTATTTAAGCATCAAATTGAACCATAGCCAGTGTTATAAACAACGTATTCTGTAAACATGATACTGGTGTGTTCAGAGTTTTGGAGAAGAAGTATACGACCGAAATACCCCGTGAAGATCCGGGTTAGAATTGGGCTTCAGCAACCCATGCTTGTCGTAAGAGGCGGCTAACGGGATGGGGGGGGGGGGGGGGGGGGTCAGGCTCGCTGACTTGCTTGATGCATGTTATCGTATCCCAAATGCGTAGATCGATGCTCATGATGTCAATCACTGGACTGGCTTGTTCAGACTCGATCATTTACATACCGCCGTCATATAGCTGGAATATTGTGAGTTGAACAGGAAACAAACAAAAGTCGAGATTATCTGGAGACAAAGTATACAATCCCCGTTGAACAGCTGATTACTGACAGAGAATGTGCGTCAAGCGGTGTGCGGATAGGTTACACTGTTTCTAATCGTTCCCGTCTGCTATACAGTGGAGGCCAGTTTGTATTGATTTCGTGTCCTGCGTCACGCATCTTCACGAGGCAAGGGAGCTAATTAGCTATAAAAGTCCAGTTTCGACCCTTGCCGAACTAGGCTGGAATTTACAAGCTCGATCGTAGCGCCAGCAGTGGCTATAACGAGTTATGTCCCTTCTATGACCCTCCTTCTGACCAATCAGATTCCACCTCTCATATCCCTTGCAATCGCTTCATACAAAATGGCGACGCCCAGTCAAGACGATCCGATCGATAATCAAAATCTATATCGAATATAACGGGCCTTACCTTTGCAAAGCCTTCAGTCTGCACGTTGAAATCCATATTGTTTACAAACCGGATGTCTAGTTCGTTACACGATTTTGATTGGACTATCCATAGATTCGTTAGTCCAGCCTTAATGTAACTCCGGATTTTCAGCCTTGTTCGGCAAGGGTGGAAACTGGACTTTTATAGTCAGTTAACGCCCTTGCCTTGGGAAGATGGCGTCACGTGACTAGCGCAAGTTAGAATCTCGGGAAGTCTCGCGGGATATGGGATATTGACAAGGAGCTAAAGGCTGAGTAACCGACTACACACAACCGAGACATAATGTATTCTAATACAACCAAATTGTGTTTCGCAATTTCTCCATCACGAATATGAAGACAAAGTAAGTCTAAATCTGAGATAGCGTTTCATAAACAAGATATAAGTACATATTGTATATTGATTTCAAGTAACAAGCTACACATTAATACCAACATCAGCAATGCACTAATAAAATTCGCTTTTACAAAAATACATAATTTGTCTTTGAACTACAAACATATACAATCCAAAACAATAAACAAGAATTACAAAAATAACCTTTTCTCAAAGAAAAACAAGAATCAATGCATTTCAATAAATGCCATATCAAAACATTTTGTTTACATTCAATGCAAAATCTCAGTTATGTAATTTCATGCTTACGGTGCTCTTTGGGTTACCTCCCCTCGCAGCATGAACATCAAAACAAATTCTTCATGTCGTAAAATGTTTGGGTTTTTTAAGTACAAGAGAAAGTGGGGTCCATAAATATGACCGCTTATATATTTTACCATATTTTTCAATCTCAAGACAATAACTGGGTTAAATGAAACAAAAATGTCATCAGAACTGAATTTGATTTTCTGAAAACGTCCTGAACACATGCGGTAGACCTTAATTCCCAGTACTGTTTCAAAAAAATATTACATGACGTACATAAAGATACTGATGAAAAGAAGAAACGGAACAGTTAACAAGGAACGAGTGCTCTTAAGACGAGAAGAGCTTTATGGAAAGAAGCGGCATCGTTAACATGAAGAATTTATCCTAAAACATCAACATACATTCTTCTGCTGCCGTAGTACGTGTTCCCTTACTTCTTCCCATCAGTATATCACAATGTTCTATAACTTTTAAACATGAGGTCATGCTCTTGTTCTTGCAGCTGATTCTGAGCAAGGAATTCACTGGCTATTCTGAACGCGTCAAACTGACGCAACTAAAGGTCATTGTGCAAAATTATAGAGAAATAATACATCAACTATAACATAGGAAGTCGGAGAAATCAATCGAATCTGTTGATTACGGAATAGAATCAACGAGCCCCGACGGGATCAACCTTCGGTGGTCGTTGCGTCTACTCCGACATCAACAGATTCTCATGAATTACCCATTTTTACGGATACGATGTTTCTTCAAGTTTTCGAGCTGTAAGGAGCTTTGGTTGTACCTATTCTACGGCAGTGTAATACCTCCACGGTGACCTTGACCTTGACCTGTTACAAGGTCAGGTCACTCAGTGTGGTAGGTCTTGTAGTTATCGTCCTGGTAGGATGGGTGCTTCAAGCAGAGCTTATCCCAGTCTGGCCAGCAGAGCTCCTTCATCCGTTCACAGTAGCCGTCGATGTTCGGTAGGCGATCTGCGTACACAGAAGCGGAAACAACGTCAGTTCGCTAGTTATTATAAAACTGTTGATCTTTTCATCGAATGCCCGACTAAATAACGTTCTCTCACACAGCATGTTTGATTCCCGGTCTGGAATTTGATTTATAGAGTGGTCTGAGCGCTACGATTGTCGTCCCATAATTCAACATAGACTTTCGACAGTCGAGAATAAAATTTAGCCTCTGAAATTGGAATTATTTTCAAGATTTTTTTTGTCGATTATATTTAATATATGGTAGAAAAGAGCCCATTTTCAACCTGAAAAGACATAAAGACTTGCCAAAGAAATTAAGACTTGCTTGGGCGGTTTCAGATATTATTTGTTTAAAGGGTCGGTGTGGAAAACTATCGACAGTCGTACGGTTTGTAGCCCACGGTCACGTGGTAATAAATACTCGTGAGGGGATTTTACGTATCGTTTGTCTGGGCTACAGGATCCAGTATTCCAGACGAAGTTTTAAACACGTTGTGGTTCATCTTGATACAGCCAACACTCCTACATTAGTGAGTGAGTGGGAGTGAGTATGGTTTTACGCCGCTTTAAGCAATATTCCAGCAATATCACGGCGGGGGACACCAGAAATGGGCTTCACGCGTTGTACCCATGTCGGGAATCGAACCTGGGCCTTTGGCGTGACGAGCGAACGCTTTAACCACTAGGCTACCCGACCGCCCCCACTCCTATATTAAGTGAGTGGGAGTGAGTAATATGGTTTTACGCCGATTTTAGCAATATTCCAGCAATATCACGGCGGGGGACACCAGAAATGGGCTTCACGCGTTGTACCCATGTCGGGAAACGAACCTGGGCCTTTGGCGTGACGAGCGAACGCTTCAACCACTAGGCTACCCGACCGCCCCCACTCCTATATTAAGTGAGTGGGAGTGAGTAATATGGTTTTACGCCGATTTTAGCAATATTCCAGCAATATCACGGCGGGGGACATCAGAAATGAGCTTCAAACATTGTACCCATGTGGGGATCGAATCCTTGGCGTGACGGGCGAACGCTTTAACTACTAGGCTACCCCACCCCGAAAGATATATGTGACATAAAGTTAATCGGCGTTAAACCCAACTCACACACTCTTAAAAATCCCAAGTCTTCATGTCTTCATGTTCTTCCAACTTCTAAATACCTGTCTAAGACTTGGCAGAACTGATGGCCAGGGAAGTAAGGTGTATTTAATAAAGGGGTCATCTTCTGGATCCGTGTGTTCTTATAAAACATTAACACCCGTGAAGATGCTGGATAGAACAGGTCTTCAGCAATCCATGCTAGCCGTAAAAGGCGACTAAAGGATCGGATGGTCAGGCTCGCTGACTTGGTTGATGCATGTCATCGTATCCCAATTGCGTGGATCGATGCTCATGATATCAATCACTGGATTGCTTGATCCAGACTCGATTATTTACAGACCGCCGTTATACATCTTCCCGAGGCAAGAGAATTTACTCACTTTAAAAGTCCAGTTTCCACCCTCTTGCTTCGTGAAGATGCCGTCATATAGCTAGACTATTGCTGAGTGCGGCGTTAAACAACAACCAAAATTTAAAACATTAACGTAGAGTGACCAACTCATTGTTATTCAGGGGGTTAATAGAGGTCCATGTCTTCATATACACTTCCATACAGGTTACCATGGTTATAGAAGAAATCAAGTGTTGGGATTACGTCAACAAATATCACGTTCTACACAGAAGAAGCAACTTCGATATACTTCTCATCGTTATGAGCTAGGGAAGCTCCCGGCTACCTACCGTGTGCGAATTTCTCATGTCGGGTTCTTGGCATATGCCACAGTACTTGAGCCAGCATCCCAAACATGGCGCAATCTATCTGACTGGGGCGGTCTCCCATGAAGAATTTTTTGTCACCTGCAAAATATAGATGTGCTTTTAGACTGTTCAAACAGTTCATAATTCAATGTCCAAACCGATCATAAAGGAAGACATCGAGCGAAAGGTAAAGTCTGGAAGGCATACAGTAACACGTGACCTGAAAACACTACAAAAAGAAATTCCCGTTCTTCGCACGACACCAATTAGAACATTGAGTGGAAAAACACACACACACAAACACATACACATGAACACACACACGAACACATACACACACAAACACATATTTTTGTTTTTCTTTGAATTGAGTAGGTTTATGCCGTTTTTAGCAACATCACGTCGGAGAATACAAACAAATGGTTAAACAAACTGTACGCCAACAACGACTCAAACCAAGGTAACGGACGTGTCGAGAGAACGACAGACAACTTCAGCTTTAATCAGTCTACATACCAAGATACCCGTGAAGATCCGGGTTAGAATTGGTCTTCACCAACCCATATTTAAAGAAGCGACTATGCTTGTCGTAAGAGACAAACGGGTCTTATAGCTGGAATATTGCTGAGTGCGGCATTAAACAACAAACAAACAAACAAACATACCCAGAAATGTCGATATGGCTTGTAGATCGGCTCTTCCGATAGTCCAGATCTCTTCGTCGCTATGGCGACCGATGCCCTGGTAGTAGAGTTCCTTCTTGATGACGCGTGAGAACACGGTTGTGAAGGCCCACAGCTTGAAGCCCTTATACTGTGGCATCACCTCCGCGATGCGGGTCTTGTCAGGGACGGCAAACATCTCGTAACACATGGACCTGCAGCAGTGTATATGTAAGAATAAAGGTGACTATCGAACGCTCATTAAGCGCTGCTTAATCCCAAACAGCTTACCGTATTTCCTCTATTAGACGCCGGGCCTCTAAATAACGCCGGGTCAATTGTTCAGTGCAAAAAATAGAAGCCGGGTTGATCACTTGATACAATTAATGATCCCTTTCATAGTGAAATGGGGGTATTCATAGAAGCCGGGCCTCTAATTGACGCCGGGTCAAAGGCTTGTCCGAAATAAATAGAAGCCCCGGCGTCTAATAGAGGAAATACGGTACGTTATTGTCCAGTGAGTGACAGTTGGGCTTAACGCCGTTTAAAGCCATGTTTTAGTTAAAGTTAGGCACCAATCGCTCATTCAAAGCGATGCTTAATTCCCAGACGAATCTTGCATTATTGTGCTATTCAAAAGGTCATGGTGATTTTCTACCTGTTCATTGCACGAGATGTTCATACATGGTATCACTGGTATGTGAGTAACGGGAATTGCATTGGCGCTGCATTTCTCTGCCATAATACTATAACCTTGTGTTCGAATCCAAGATTTTCTCTGAATAAGATTCTTGATTTGGCAGCATAATAGCAGTGCTTGTGGGTTTCATTAAAGTTGGTTGGTTGGTTTGGTATTTTACGCCGCACTCACCAATATCCAGCTATGTGACGGCGGTTTGCAAATATTCGAGTCTGGACCAGACAACCCAGTGCTTGATATTATGAGCATCGGTCCACGCAATTGGGATACGATGACATGCATCAACCAAGTCAGCGAGCCTGGAAACCTGACCACAGTCTCCTTTTACGGCAAGCATGGGTTGCCGAATGCCTAATCTATCCCTCATACTTGGAAAGGTGAATCATGACGTCACACACATATCCCGTCATATTGCTGAGTGCGACGTTAAAGAACAAGCAAACAATACAAAATCAAAGAATAAATTGTTATTCTCTTTACGTACAAAACAGCGCTGGAATGTCATAATGGACTCGACCGACCTACCAGTACGTGTTTTCCTCGCTCATCTTTTGAAAGGCCCGCGAGATGGACTTGTCCACCGGAGTCAGGTGACTGTTCATGTCGATACCGAGCTCACGTGACAGGAAGTCAATACAAAACTGGGAGTCGGCGATGGCTTGGCCATTATACTCGATCCATGGGGTTTTTCCTTTCTTGGAGAATCGACTAGAGTGAATGTTCTGAAAAAGACAAATAGAGATCACATATATTATCGGATTTAATCATATGTTTGATTTTCAGTTGAAAATATCTCAAGTTAGTTAGATATGATATCCAAACAATGATTTGTACTGGTGGTAAGTCGGCATTCAAAGAAAATTCCGAAATGATTTTAAGTTATTTAAATATAATTTGACTTTAAACTGCTTAAACCTTTTTACAATGTTCGCATGATGATGGGTATATTAGACATTTTATCTTTGAAAATCAATCAATTTGCTTTTTTTCGGCACAAATTTACAAGTCAAACATGTTAGTGGCCATGTGGCTGCAAATTCATTTCTTACCCCATTTGTCACTGAACCACTTTATTTTTAACAAAATTATCTAGCCACTGATTACTTCTTACAAACTCCTGCAGGGAAGAGATGGTTAAATAGACATAAACACAATAAACAATTTTCAATAACATAAAAAACAAACTCGGTATAGTTTCTTTTGACTGAAATTCTCGGGCCCTTCGAAAATGCACCGAGTTACCCGTAGTTCGACACAAGAGGATAGCCGACATTAAACCACAGAGACGATAGTGAATCTTCAGGACCATAAATATATATCGTCTTCCATGTTATTCTGAGTAAAATATATTCAAGTTAATTAAATTTCTTAAAAAATGTCTTGAAAATAATCTTCGAGTTTGTATGACAATGTCTATTACGAAGAACTAACTGACTTTTAGATAACTCTTGCTGTCCTAAAAGTATTGATGAAAAAATGTCAATCGCGTTAACAATAAATATTTATCATGACTTACCATATAAGGTATTTTGTTAAACCTGAGGAACGTCTCGAGTTTGAGGGGGAAGGGCGAGACACTTGGACAGAAGGGCCCCCTCCCGATCTGGTACAGCACCACCACGCCCTTTGGGGCTGGATACGGAGGGGATTTCCTGCAAGGAGAATATAAGGTTGTCAACGTTGGATATAACGAAGCCTGGTAAATTGAATATACGGTTAAAACGAACATTCGCGGTAACTACCATACGGTTATAACGAATGCTCGGCTGTTATGAACATGCAGGTGGGACGAACATCGGCTGTTACGAATATACCGCTTTAAAGAAATTTGGTTATAACGAACACTCGGTTGTAACGATTATACGGTTATAACGAACAGTCGAGATATGGGGATACATGTTATTGTTCGTTACATAACGAACTTCAGATATAATTAACTGATTGTGTGGTCCCTTTACGTCCCTTTTGTTATAACCAAAATTGTCCACTGTGCTTAATAATTAAACACATTTGAAGCAGATCATCCGGACATTTCATTTTAAATGTTTTCTATGTTAGCTCATGGGGCAGTGTCTCCTAGACCCTTGAGAATAAATTAAGAAAAGGAATCCAACTCAAGTCTAGAATGATTCAGCAAGTCTAGACTGCCTCAACTCTGAAATTAAGCAATATTCTGGGTTCCATTTTGGATTAAATCTTATTATTTAGTAGATACAGCCAACTCCGTTGTGTCGAAGTTGAAGGGACCTACGGAAATACTTCGAATTCGACACAACCGAATACGCAGGGACCAAACTTTTACTTCGAAACAACCGCAAGTTCGACACAACGGTGTTTGACTATATATTTATGGGACTAAATGAAAGTCTACCTTTGGGAATAGGTCCTCACACCCAACAGCTGGTCGTAAGAGGTAACTAAACAGTCTTTAGTTTTCGGTACCTGGCTGATTGCGTGACGTGATACCCTGACGGTGCGGCACGGTGCTCACGATTTCAGTCACTGGTTCTACTGATCCAGACTCGACTATTTACAGGTCACCGTGATATAAATGTTTGTGATTTAGAACAGAGTAGGACGAAAAGACAAGGCGACAAGTTATAGCCGTTGACAGTGAGTATTTGCCAGACGTTTCCCACAATAATAACGAAAATAAATCTCCGCCATGTTCATTATTAACTAAACTACCTATTACGTTTAGAACAGAAAGTTAAACAAATTGCCCCGTTTTAGACTTTAATCAGATACGTATATTTTCACCACACCAATTACTTAGCGTCGAGACCTCGTCAGGCCATGTGTGGAAAGCGTGGATTATTATTAGAAGCGGCCGTAAAATCATTTCCATGTCAACGTTGGATGCTTGAATAAGGCGTCAGTAGCGGGATATACGAGATGTTTGTGTCAAGAATTATTTTCGGCGTAATCGTTGCGTGTGACAATAAGATCGAGACATCATGGCCCCGTTCCACAAAACGATCTTAGCGCTACAACGATCGTAAGTCACATACATTAACATGTGCCTACCTTGTGGTTAAAGCGTTAGCTTGCCACGCCAAAGGCCAGGGTAGACACATGGGTACAATGTGTGAATCCAATTTGTGTGAATCACGTCGCAATATTGCTGGAATGTTGCTAAAAGCGGCGTGAAATTATACTCACTCGCTCAGTTTAGCATCTCTTGGGGACCCGGGTAGAATTTCTCCCCAGCACTCGATTGCTAGCGGAAGGTCGGGGGTCGATTGCCGACTGCGTCATACCAAAACGTTAATAGATGGTACTTGTTGTTACCCTGTCTGGCGCTCGGCATAAAGGGGCTAAAACAAGGACTGGTCGGGTCGGAGTCAGTATACTGTGTCTGAGTGGGGTATTCATGTTTAAACTGCGGCATTGTATCTCAGTGAGCTAGTACTATAAAATTGGCATTAGGCCGCACTAGTACAAGCACACACACACACTCAAACACGTGCATACACGTGCATGGCCGTTGCTATATAAGTGCAATACTCCCTATTTCACCTCATCTCTAGCACTGACAATGCCGATATTGCTTTGTTTTTCAACAAGCGCATTTCTGGAACCGTCATAAATATCTAAAAACAGCGTTATATATAATATATGATAACAGACGATAAAGTGGAACATAAACTGTCGGGAAAAAGAAAGTCTACACTTGAAGATTGGATCTGACCCTAAATTACAAACGACATCAAAACGTTACTAGGCTGAAAACAGTCGCCGAAACGCTGCAAATATATGGTCCAAAAAAAAGAATGATATCCGAATCTAATACAACACCATCGAATAACCATTTCTTTCATTTTAGCCACCATCAAACGTGGGTGTATACTTTCTTTCGACCGGCAGTTTGTGCGCGGGAATATGATACCACGAGTATGATTAACACAGCATTCGTCACCACTCGACCCTTTCCGTAACCTGCAAGAAGAGCTATTCTGCCATCTGAATACCTATGTTGGGATGCGAACCCGGGCTCTTGGCGTGACAAACCGGCGCCTTTTCAACTAGGGTACCACCAGCCACGAGTAACTAGGCAAGGGGAATACCGTGCTGGGTGGTAACTTAGAGGAAGCGACCGATCTCTACGCAAAGGACGGAAGACCTATAGTACCACGTGACCTAATTACGTCACAATTATATTCTCTTCCTGCAAAGACACCTATAGTGTTATAAACCCCAGTCATGAAGTCTGAGTAAATAAATCTCCAAGGCTCCAAAAATAGCCCGATAAAGTAAGCCTCATTGTTGAATTGCGCAGCGCTTGGAATGGACGCTCGATGATTACCTTTAAACATTGTTAACGCTTTTAATCAAATAAGTTGCTAAAATCATTTTTATTAGCAAAAAAGGACAACATTGAGGAAATACAACCCTGGTATTGTCAATTTACTGCGTCAAGAAGACAATAAACTAATGGTTTAACGGCTCTTCATGCAAAATGTATCTTCAGTTGAAAAAAACTATCATCAATTTCGATGAAAATCAGTCTGGGATTTCCGGACTAATAAACAATAAATCAAACTAGAGTTAGAGATAAATGTGTGTTGACAGTTTCCTGATTGGCGTGGTTGTTTCAAACGAATCCGCGAATACTGGGTTCCTCGCTGGGGTTTTCACAACGCATGATGCAACGCCAAAGAATCGGCCGTGGTCTAAATCGGTCAGTGAAAATTACACTTATTAAATAGCATATGTTTACGGAAGCCTTTAAGGGCCATTTGTTTTTGTGTGTGTGTTTTCTTGAAATTTCAAGATACATAAGTTGAAATTTCAAGATACTAAGTTATAATCTTAATATTTGAAGTTATTATCTTTAAATTTCAAGATCCTTATCTTGAGTGGGGTATTCATGTTTAAACTGCGGCATTGTATCTCAGTGAGCTAGTACTATAAAATCGGCATTACGCCGGACTAGTACAAGCACACGCACACACTCAAACACGTGCATACACGTGCATGGCCGTCGCTATATAAGTGTAATACTCCCTATTTCACCTCACCTCTAGCCCTGACTATTCCGATATTGTTTTATTTTTTCTACAAGCGCATTTCTGGGACCGTCATAAATATCTAAAAACAGCGTTATATATGATATATGATAACAGACGATAAAGTGGAACATAAACTGTCGGGAAAAAGAAAGTCTACACTTGAAGATTGGATCTGACCCTAAATTACAAAAAATCAAAACGTTACTAGGCTGAAAACAGTCGCCGAAACGCTGCTAACCTATGGTCTAAAACACTAGAATGATATCCGAATCTAATACAACATCATCGAATAACCATTTCTTTCATTTTAGCCACCATCAAACGTGGGTGGATACTTTCTTTCGACCGGCAGTTTATGCGCGGGAATATGATACCACGAGTATGATTAACACAGCATTCGTCACCACTCGACCCTTTCCGTAATCTGCAAGAAGAGCTATTCGGATTGTCCCGGAATAACACGAGTTGGTCACGAATGCACAGTTGTACTGGCCTCACTGTCAATCACTGGATTGTTTGGTAGACTTATTATTTACAGACCGCCGTCATATAACTGGACTTATGCTGAGTGCGGCGTTAAACAACAAACAACAAACAAACAAACAAACTTTGCGTCACCAAACACATGGCTTTTTTTTGTATTATTCTTAGGTCGTGAATACAGGTTGCTAAAAACTAAACCAATTTCCAAACACAACCAAAAAGCCCCCGCAAAAAAACTTCGCTTTAGCCTGTGCTAACTACAGACTTTAAAGTATATATTCACAGTTCATTACCGTTGCGATGTTTTGTAACGATGCAAATTCAGCTAAAAAACAGAAACTTTACACTCGGTTCTGTGTTTGTGTAACTGACTGAATTAAATGTCTCTTAAATGTTCTTTGAGATGAAAAGAATTGTTTAAGGTGAAAAAGTCCGTGAAAAAATGGTATTCCATAAAGACATCGTGACGGTACCAGTAAATTCGTAGTTAGTTTAGACTGGTGAATATGATATATCTTTTTCTTTCATTTTAAAACAGTATATATATATATATATATATATATATATATATATATATATATATATATATATATATAGTTTTCTCTTTAAGTGTGAATTGAGCTCTGACAACATTTTTTGAACGGTAAAATATGGCGTGGGTCGGGAATTTCAGATGCTGTCAGCTACTGATGTTAATATGTTGTCAGGTAGCGTGGTAGTTTATTCTCAATAAATTTAGATATTTTACTCCGACTCGATACCGCTCTCCCTAAAGATCTGATAAACGTCACATCGTGTGAAATGTCTAATCAGCCAATCGTTGTGGAGACTTTAATGAATTCTTGGTACGAGCAAAGCATTCTTATTAGCATAACTGATTTCTGTATTTTGAAAACGAACAAAAACTGACAGTTCCAAATGGAGAATGATAATGGTCGTTGTGAAGAGTTGCGTCCCTTTAGGTTCTATGATGGTTCGTTGGAATCGACCCTGTTTCCAGGTGTGTCAGTCTTACCCATCTTCGTGGGTTTCACCAAAGTGGTAAACATATAAGACTGGCAAAATGCGTGTCCCATTCGAGGCGGGTAAGTGGATCGGGTGGTCAGACTCGGTGACAGGTTGATTGCACGTCATCCTGTCCCATTCGAGGCGGGTAA